GAGGCGCCGCGTGCACGCGCCCAAGAGGATGCAACGCTCCGAGTGGAGTGTGCACGTACTCCCGGGGGACACGGCTGACCTCGACTCGAATAAGCGAGTGAAATGGCATCCACAATCCAGTGGGATAATCTTTGTTTCGATACGGCACTTCCCTGCTGCCGACCGCCATAACAGACAAAGAGCTGCTCAGATGATCTAAAATTCTGAGTACGGTCCACATAAATGCGCAGAGCGCGAACTGGACAAAGTAAAGAAAGGGCTGGGTCTGCCTCCTCCGGGGGCAGCGCTTGCAGGTTCACTACCTGATCTCTAAAGGGGGTGGTAGGAACCTTGGGCACATAACCGGGGCGGGGTCTCAGGATAACGTGAGAGTAATCCGGCCCGAATTCCAGGCAAGAGTCACTGACCGAAAATGCCTCCAGGTCCCCAACCCTCTTGATGGAGGCCAACGCAACCAGCAGAGCTGTCTTCAGGGACAGAAATCTTAGAGATACTGATTCGAGTGGCTCAAAGGGATCGGATCGCAGACTCGTGAGAACGAGGGCGAGATCCCAAGAGGGCATGAGAGGGGGGCGAGATGGATTAATTTGCCTAGCACCCCTAAGGAACTGGATGACCAGGTTATGCTTTCCCACGGTGCCGCCAGCCACCGCGCTATGATAAGCGGAGATGGCGGCCACGTAAACCTTGAGAGTGGAGGGCGACAGCCTGCTGTCCAACTTCTCTTGAAGGAAAGAGAGCACAACACTAATCTGGCAATTTCGGGGGTCTTCTCTGCGAGAGACGCACCATTCAGTGAATAGACTCCACTTCAGGGCGTAGGCGCGCCTCGTGGAGGGGGCTCTAGCCTGAGTGATGGTATTAACCACCGCAGTCGGTAGGTTACCTAAGTCTTCCTCGCGTCTAGGGACCACACGTGGAGGTTCCAAAGATCGGGGCGAGGGTGCCAGATGGTGCCCTGTCCCTGAGAGAGTAGGTCCTCTCTCAAAGGGATCCGCCAGGGGAGGGCCGTCGCGAGGAGTGAGAGCTCTGATATCCAGGTCCGGTTGGGCCAAAGGGGCGCAACTAGCAGAACCTGTTCCTCGTCCTCCCTGACCTTGCACAGAAACTGCGCGAGCAGGCTCACTGGGGGAAACGCATACTTGCGCATGCCCCGAGGCCAGCTGTAGGCCAGTGCATCCGTGCCGAGAGAGCCCTCGGTCAGGGAAAAAAACAACTGGCAGTGAGCGTTCTCGGGGGAAGCAAACAGATCGATCTGGGCCTCCCCGAATCGCGCCCATATCAGCTGAACAGACTCGGGGTGGAGTCTCCATTCTCCAGGGCGTAACAGCTGTCGTGAGAGCGCATCGGCTGCACGATTGAGCGTGCCTGGGACGTGAATGGCGCGCAGCGATTTCAGTCGCGGGTGACTCCAGAGGAGCAGACGGCGGGCGAGCTGAGACATGCGGCGAGAGCGCATACCCCCCATGCGGTTGATTTACGCCGCCGCCGCCGTACTGTCCGTCCTGACCAGCACGTGTTGCCGCTCCAGCACCGGTAAAAAGCGGTGGAGAGCGAGGAACACTGCCAACAGCTCTAGGCGATTGATATGCCAATGCAGCTGGGCACCCTTCCAGAGGCCCGCAGCCGCATGCCCGCGACACACGGCCCCCCAACCCGTGTTGGAAGCGTCTGTTGAAACAACGACATGGCTGGACGCCTGTCCTAGAGGCACACCGGCCTGTAGGAACGAGGGGTCGTTCCAAGGGCTGAGGGCGCGGCGACACAGCGCAGTAACCGAGACCCGGTGTGTGCCCGCGTGCCATGCGCGTCTGGGGACCCGATCGTGAAGCCAGTGCTGAAGTGGTCTCATATGGAGCAACCCGAGCGGCGTGACGGCGGCTGCGGATGCCATAAGCCCCAGGAGCCTCTGAAAGAACTTCAGTGGGACCACTAGTTTGCTGTCGAGCTCCCTCAGACAGTTCAGCAACAGGCGAGCGCGTTCCTCGGAGAGGTGCGCTACCATGGTGATCGAGTCCAGCTCCATCCCGAGAAAAGAAATCCTCTGCACGGGGGCGAGTTTGCTCTTTTCTCGGTTGACCTGAAGCCCCAGTAGGCGGAGATGCCGAAGCACCTCGTCCCTGTGCATAATCAATTGCTCCCGCGAGTGGGCTAAAATCAGCCAGTCGTCGAGATAACTGAGTATGCGAATGCCCGCGAGCCGAAGGGGCGCTAGGGCACCCTCCGCGAGTTTGGTGAAGACCCGCGGAGACAGAGAGAGCCCGAAGGGGAGGACCTTGTACTGCCACGCTCGACCCTCGAACGCAAACCGCAGAAATTGGCGGTGGCGTGGAAGAATGGAGACATGGAAATACGCGTCCTTCAGGTCTATGGCTGCAAACCAATCCCGAGGACGAACGCATTGGAGAATGCGCCTCTGCGTGAGCATTCTGAACGGCAGCTTGTGCAGACAACGGTTCAAAACGCGCAGATCTAGGATTGGCCGTGACCCACCGCTCTTTTTGGGTACGATGAAGTATGGGCTGTAAAACCCACTCTCCATCTCGGCTGGAGGAACCGGCTCGATTGCACCCTTCGCCAGGAGGGCAGCAATCTCCTCTCGCAAGACAGGGGCGGACAGGGGGTTGACCCTGGAGAAATACACGCCCGTAAACTTGGGGGGCCGTTTCGCGAACTGAATCGCGTAACCGAGTCTGATTGTGCGTATGAGCCACCGCGAGGGGCTGGCCCGCGCTAACCAGGCAGGCAGAGCCCTCGCTAATGGAGTCATCGCTACAATCGCTGACGTACCAGCGGTGGGGCAGCGCGGAGTGGGTGTGCTGATCCGGGAAGCACGAGGGTCCCGCGGAAAAGCTGGAGGAGAGCGATTCGCTCTGGCTCCGCACCCTGACTCCGGAGAGGGGGCTGGAGGGCTGAGGGAAGGGAGACCGTCCCCCCAGCGCTCGTGAGCCACTGGCGAAGCACGTAGAGTCTGCGAGCCGGAAGGCAGCGCGTCCCGGACTGGCAGAACTCGTGCAGTCACATCCGGGGAAGGGAAAAAGTGCTCTTTTACTGATGTTTTGGTGGCACTGAAAGGTACCGTTGTTATCGGGGCCCCGCCCTCCAGCGGGGAAAGAGCAAGTTTCCTCTTCTCCGGATGGCCTGTCTCAGGGACGCTTCGCGGTCCGTTTACCGGACTTAACGGCGCCCTGGGCAGGAGGGGCTGCCTGCTTTCGAGGTGAACGCCGCGCCCGCTTGGCCGGAGGCGCAGGCGGGGGCGGGGCAGCACTCGTTGGCGGGCGCCCTCGGCGAGGAACAGCGGAGGTGGATGGCTCGGCGGGCGGAGCGGGCTTACGGCCACGCCGATAGATGACATTGCCCATCGCATCCGACTGCTCTTTCACCGCCTTGAATTCCTGGGTGAATTCACCGACGGTGTCGCCGAACAGGCCAGCCTGGGATATGGGCGAGTCAAGAAAGCGAACTTTGTCAACGTCGCGCATATCGGCCAGGTTTAGCCAGAGGTGGCGTTCCTGAACCACAAGTGTGGACATCGTCCTCCCCAGCGCACACGCGGCGGACTTAGTAGTCCGAAGAGCATAGTCGGTCGCGGTGCGCAGCTCATGTAATAAGCTTGGGTTGGACCCGCCCTCGTGCAGCTCGGCCAGCGCCTGCACTTGGTAGCGCTGGTAGGTGGCCATCGCGTGCAAAGCAGAAGCAGCCTGGCCCGCAGCCTTATAAGCTCTGGCTCCGAGGGAGGCAGACAACCTACAGGCTTTGGACGGGAGGCGGGGCAAACCCCGCCACGTAGAGGCGCCGCGCGGACAAAGATTGACCGCGATAGCGCGCTCCACTGACGGGATCGCCTCATACCCCCTGGCAGCTCCGCCGTCAAGGGCGGTGAGGGCGGAGGCACTCGCAGCACGGGCAGAGAAAGGTGCCCTCCAGGACTGCGTGAGCCTACTGTGCACTTCCGGGAAGAAGGGGACGAGAGGCTTCGAAGGCTTCGCCTTCTGGTCCTCTACGTAGCACCCATCTAGTCGGTCCGGCCGCGGAGCTGGGGGATAAACCATCTCCAACCCCACGGCCGAAGCAGCCCGGGAAAGCACGGCTAACATGTCCGCTTCAGGATCCGATTTGACAGCGCTCACCTGCCCGGAGGGGGCGAGCGGGTCCGGATCTTCGTCGGACAGTGAAAGCCCACCCTCCGATGCCGCGGAGGACATCTGATCTCCGGTGTCAGCGAGTGTGAGAGCTACCATCTGGTTAGACGGATCACTCTCACCACCCGAAGCTTGGATGGAGCGCCGTGAGGAGCGAGAGGTCCGCGAGCCTGTGGGCGGCGGATTAGCTCCCGCTGAAACCCTCAGATCTGCCCGAGCGCCCGCTGCTTTTTTAGAACAGGAGGCAACTGGGGTGGCTCGCTCTCTTGCGAAAGTTAGCCGCGATCTTAGCTGTGCAACGGTCATGGCATCGCAATGACGACATGAACCGCCCGCGAGCACCGCATTAACATGCTGGACCCCCAAACATGCAATGCAGTGATCGTGTCCATCATCCGGAGACAGGAAACCCCCGCATCCAGAAACGCACAGTCGGAGCGCCATCCTGAAAAGGACGTGCTGCACGACTGTGTTGCTCTTTTAGGAAAGTTGCAACTATACGCACCGCTCTGGAGGACCGGACCCAAAGAACCGCAGGCAAGGGAGTAACCCAGCTCGACCGTCTGCCACCGCGAAGACCCACTCTGGACCGGGAGACACACTCGTTCGCTCTGAAGTGCTGATCAGCAAGAGGAACCCTCATCGACTCACTCAGAAAGGATCTGAAGCGAAAAGGATGGCGTCTGCTGGCTCAGGTGTGCTTATATGCTGAGATAATTGCAGATGTCGCACACCTGCGCAAGCTTACGCTGCCAATTAATTTCATTCATTGGCCCGTTCAATACTCTCCAGATAAGCGGCTTCTGATCCGAATCCTCCCATTCATGGCACTGAAGTTCCCCAACCGAAGGGGAACTGCTAATTTGCTGCTTATTAATAGTAAGGTAGTTGGGTTTAGGTATTGGGTAGGATTAGTTATGTAGATTAATATTGTACTTTATAAATACTAATAAACTGCCAATATTTAATACTTTCTTTATTGTCCACAATTAGAAATTTATCTTTGCTTCACCACGCAACCACATCAGCGTTCATATTATTCAAATATCACAGAAAAACAGGCAACACAAATGCATTCAATATCATCACAAATATCACATTAAAAACTCAGTTAAAACCCTATTCATACTTAAAACTCAGTATTTAAAATTCTAATAGCAGTCGGCACTAATGACATAAAAAAAATTAATTGAGGTTGCCTAAAATGTCTTTTTGAAGGCAAAAGATTCAATAATGATTCAATAATGATGTGTGCTTTCTGTTTAATTGTCATTACTTTTTCACAGTTCATTTAGTTTTCTTTATGCTTTGCCTACAATTGCACTGGGAATTTTTACTACTTGACAGTTTTTGCTTTACTTTAATTGGCAACAGTCTATGCCATGCAATCATGTTAAAACTCACAACTCCTTCAACCAAATTCAACCTTATTAATCTCCAGAATATCTTGACTCATGTCAAATTGTTGTAATCTCCTAACAAGCTTTTTTATACATTCTACATTTCCAGCAAATGTCAAATTACCATCAATAAAATTCCTAAATATTTAAAATATTGTTGAACTGTCTGTATTTCATGTCCTTCAAGGACCAAAGGTATCAAACCTTACGTAAGAACTACTTTATTTCTGGTAAATACCATCTCCTTGGTTTTATTCAAATGTATCTCCAGTAAACTCATTTTACACCAGTTTTGATGCATTTTTTTATAACTATAGTACAGGGTATCTCCCTTTGTTCCTGTTTTAGTCAACCGGCCAACAAGTGCCATATCATCTGCATATTTAAATAATTTAAGTTATATTTTAATAACTTAAGTTCATTTGTGTAAAGAAAAAAAAGTTAAGGTGATAAAATGTTTTTTTGTGGAACTCCTGTATTTACATTAATTGTTTAATATGTATAATATATGTATAATAAGCTTGTAGTAGTGAGAATTGTTACTTAAGCTTAAAATATTACCAAAACATTAAATTAAACAATTCAGCTTTGGCATTTGTATAAGTTCATCTCTTTTATTTTTTTCTACTCAAATTCAAACATTTTATACAAGGCACCGTGTTTTAAATGCACAACTGAAATTATTTCTTTACAAGAGCTTGTCTTTAAACTTCTCTGACTCTCTTGTGTTCTGTTTCCGCATCTGTATTTGACTGCAGAAGAGTGAAGATGCACTCGCTCTGACAAGATCTGCTTCCACTGAGATGCTTCAACAAAACAGTTTCAACAAACTGAAAGAACAAATTATGTGGATCAGATTTAATGACCATAAAAGACAACATATGTTCATGTTCAACTGTAATTTTACACACCAACCTGATTTCACCATAGAACTTAGAATAACATCTATGTTGATCCTGGAACAACATTCCAATCAGCCAATCAGAGTTGAGGGATACGTTTATTGTCTAGTTTAGGCTTACAGTTATGCACTTCTACATACACGATTGTTTGCCAACTATTATTCCCTTCCAATTTTGGAAATAATTTACATTTATAGTTGGGCTTAGGGGTAGAGAATAGGTATTGATCACATTTTTGAACAAAAATTATGTTCCAGGATCAACGTAGATGTTAACCCAGGATCGCATCGTATTTGGCAAAATAATGATGTGCAGTTTTATATACAGTTGGAGTCAGAATTATTAGCCCCCCTTTAATTTTTTTCTTTTTTAAATTTTTCCCAAATGATGTTTAACAGAGCAAGGAATGTTTCACAGTTGGTCTGATAATATATTTTCTTCTGGAGAAAGTCTGATTTGTTATTTCAACTAGAAGAAAAGCAGTTTTAATTAAAAAAAAAAAAAATTTTAAAGTCAAAATTATAAGCCCCTTTAAGCTATATATACAGTTGAAGTCAGAATTATTAGCCCCCTTCGAATTTATTTATTTATTTTTTTATATTTCCCAAATTATGTTTATCAGAGCAAGGACATTTTCACAGTGTGTCTGATAATATTTTTTCTTCTGAAAAAAAAAAAAACGTATTTGTTTAATTTTGGCTAGAATAAAAGCAGTTTTTAATTTTTTAAAAAACACCCTTTTAAAGACAAAATTATTAGACCCAATAAGCTATATTTGTTCTTGATAATCTACAGGACAAACCAATGTTACACAATTACTTGCCTAATTACCCTAAGTTAATCCTTTAAATGTCACTTTAAGTTGTAAAGAAGTGTCTTGAAAAATATCTAGTCAAATATTGAGTACTGTCACCATGGCAAAGATAAAATAAATCAAAATAAATTAGTTATTAAAAGTATTATGTTTAGAAATGTGTTGAAAAAATCTTATCTCTATTAAACAGAAACGTGGAAAAAAAAATAAACGAAGGTAATAGTTCAGGGGGGCTAATAATTCTGACCTCAACTGTAAATGATGTTTTTTCAAACAACAGATAATTTTAAATCCCGAAATGCATCACAGAATATCTGCAACTCAAGTACTTCTAATATAATAAAAACAGCACTGAAGTTGTGAGATGATGTTTGAAAGGTTTCTATGCATTAAATGTAACTCTCACCTGTTGCTCTTTCACTTCATTACATTTTTTATCAGCACATCTTATGACCAAACCTTTAAATAGGATCAAAATAAAAATCACTAAGACTTATTAAACAAATGTAAGTTTAAACAGGAACAGATTATTAAATGTTTATAGATTTACAGTAAAAATAAGGTAAAAAGTTAATTATTATCCAATATCCAATACACACCAATAGCTGCAATGACGGCTAAAGCGCCAAACAGGACAGATGTGATGATGATCAAATTTCTCCATGATTTCTGGTTTTGTGAAGCATCGTCTGATTCTGAAGTCAAAGACATGTCTGTAAATATTTAAATATTAAATCTAAAACAAAACAATCACAACATCGTAGTATGAACACAACTAACAATGTAGCTCAGTAATTAAAAACAAAAGTACCTGCACATGGCTGACAATGTTGTCTGATGTCCAGGTGTTCAGTCTTGTTGCTGATAGTGTTGTTGATCACACAGCTGTAGGTGTTGTTATCCTCATATTGCAGCTCCAGAGGTAAAGAGAGACGGGTGCTGACATTAAACACACTGATGCTGGAGATTAAACTGTTTCCTTTGTACCAGGAGAGACTCACAGCACTCACATTCACCACTGAACACAGCAGCGCACAGTGAGAGACTGACGGACCTTCAGATGAAGAGCATTTAGAAGTGTTTCTGATGATGACAGGAGCAGATAGAAAAGCTGAGGGTGAAGACAAATCAGTCAAACTTTAGGTTCACTTAGGGACAGGGTTAGGAGATTAATAAGCTTTCAGATGTATCGTCAAAACACAGCTCTTTATAAAGCACACCAAACTTTACTGCTCACCACTGACAGTAACTCGGAACATTTTGTCTGCTTCTGGATTTGTGCTGATTTCTACTTTATAAAGTCCAGTGTCTGTGCTTCTGATGTTTGTGAAGGTCAGAGATCCTGTCTGATCGTCCATCTGCACTCTGTCTCTAAATCTCTCATCAGAAACATTATTAATCATCGCCTCATGGTTGAGTTCAGCAATAACACTCTCTGGGTTTTCAGGTCCAAACATCCACTGTAACACTGTAATATTTCTCATTTCAGCAACACCAGTGTGTAGAATGACAGAATCCCCCTCCGTTACAGACAGAGTCTTCATTTCATCTTCATCAGCACCAAACACACCTAAAACACAGTCATTCATAAAGTTGATTCTGATTGTTTTCTAAATGCTGGAGTGATCTGAGAACAGTTCATGAACGCAGACAAAAAAGAATAAACTGAACAAACTCGTTAAAATAATAAATATCTTATAGCCTACTATCTAATATAGTATTAATAGTATTATAGTATATTGTTATTTCTCCTCATTATTATCAGGCAGCCCCAGAACATTGCTTACGCGCAAACTGTACGTTCCTAATTTACATCTTCGTGTTTTACGCAATTCCTGTTTTGAATAGGCTAAGTATTAACTCGCAGTGCAATAATACATTTGAATATAAAACAAAATAACTTACCATCCAAATACCACAGCCGTAAACGCAATAAAATTAAAACGAACCTCATTTTCGTCAGCAGCTCTGTATAGACAGACGTCGCTTCTGATTCATTGACAGGATGCTGTTACGTGAACGCGCACAAGCGCATATCCGTTTTTTCTCCTTTCTTTGTATAACTATTGCATGGTTAGTCTTTCTTTCTTTCCTTCTTTCTACTTGAATAAAACACAATTTAACTCCTGAAGTTGTACGCATTTTCACTTTCGTATTTAGATGATATACTATAACTGAGATCTGTGCTTGCATGTCTTATATTATTGTAAGAAATGTAAGATGTATTTTTTTATACTATTCTTTTATTTTCTTTATTCTCTTTATTATTTGACTAACTAAATGTTTAAATTGGGAGTATATAATAGTAATTTTGCATACATTTCAAATAGGGAAATTAGATAGTCTTGATTGAGCAAATACACTCGAAAAAAGCTGGGTTTATCAAATATGGGAAATTATTTCATAAAATATAACATATTTGTTTTTAAAATATTTGTAGCTTTTATTCCAACTGTTGGTTTGTCTGTTGGTTTCGGTACCCAAAATTACAGATTAAACCAACTCTGCATTTTTAAAGCGTGGGCATATATTTATTTACCTTTGAACTTTATTAAACATCCTTTATTAAACAAGCCTATATTTGACTGTAAAGCTGTTTTTGTTTACACCAGAATGAATTTTATGCTGGATAGATTATCCTTCACATGCAAACCAATCACACACATCCATTAATAGACACATTATGAGGTTGGCTTTGTCCTGCCTCCAGAACAAACCACATTCATCTAGTTGGCTTTCGAGCTGTATTGAAAGCTTAGACCCCATCAGGTTTCTGTTTAACTCCAGTGGCTTCATGTTTACTAAAAAAAGTTAAAACCTTCAAATCTTTTTTTAAATGTGCTTTTGTCTTTTATTTATAAAATATCCAAATTGCTCATTTGTATTTCCACATTTTTCAAAACTTCTTCTCTTCTGGATATTGACATACTAAAATAGCTTCATAGCCACACTCACAAGAACTCATTCATTTAACCAGATCACAGCTTAAATAAAACACTCGACACAAAGACAAAAGAAAAAAATATATACAAATAACTCAGCCTTGACAATAGGCCCTATGTCTGATCACTATTTGCTTCAGATTTTACATTTCAACACAAACATACATGTTCCTTGAATAATCCCACTTTAAAATACAATTTAAAGCACGTTTTAAGTGTTTTGCTCATTGTAGTGTGAACTTTACACTGTGACGGTTTAGACAGGGTTGAGTGCGAGATGTGATCGTCAGCAAATGGTGTCATTTCACACTTGCTTTATGTTTGAATGCAACCACTTGTGAGTAATTTTTTCCATCTAAACACATTTACCTTAACATACGTTCATGAACATTTAATTACTGAAGTCTATCAGACTAACTCAACACTTTCCCCCAATAATATTTTGCTTCTGCTTGTAACCTTGATAATGTAAAAACACTATTATTGAAAATCTGTCAAATCTGAGCCATCCGAATGCACTTAAAATAACTGTGTGGTTTGTTTGCCTAATCAGTGAATACTGACACTATTTTATGAAGTAGGAACATAATCACCAAGACTTTATAGTGTTACTTGCACATTTTCCACCAACTGTAATAAATTCAGCTATAAGTACATACAACCAAGGTAAAGCTTTTTTTTCAAAACATTTTTTATTGTGTTTTATGGGGGCTGCACTGAAATGTGACACGAGAGGAAGTGGTTTCATTTTCACCTTCTTTCTCTTAGTTGGTTTGTGGCTTTTTTATGAACCTCTTTTCCATTGTTCACCTAAAATTAAATATTGCACAAATTTGCTTCTGTAAATATATCAATTGCTGAAAAACATGGGTTACTGTATTTTTAAAAAGATGTAGATGTAGAAGGGTACGCTGAAGAATTTAATTAAAAATCTTTCATGTTGTCATAATGGAGTATTTGTAGAATTTTGAGGGGAAATTATGAATTTAATCAAATTTAGAATAATCCTGTACAAAATGTGGAAACCGCTGTGAATACTATTCCTGGTTCACAACGACGCGCTCATTATGCATGAGATAATGTAGTCCACGAGACGATGAATGAGATATTGAAGATGACTGTTTGGAGTATGTCTGCTTTCTATAATGTAATAACATACAATCTTCACCATTAGGTGTTGCGCCCAACTCACCCCCACCGCTCTTCAGGTAGGTCGCGGCGGAACTCACCCCCACCGCTCTTCAGGTAGGTCGCGGCGCAACTCACCCCCACTGCTCTTATAGGTCACGGCACAATTCACCCCCACCGCTCTTCAGGTATATTGCGTGCAACTCACCCCCACCGCTCTTCAGGTACGTCTCGCACGCTCCTACTAAGAGGCTTCTATAAAAAGGTTAATATTTCGCTTTAATTTTATTTAGGCTAGATTATTATTATTTTATTAAACAAACCAACACAATCTCATGGCAACTAGTGTTTTGGTGCTGAATATAGCGGACTTAAGCACTTCACCCGGAAGGTTATTGGTTATTCTTTATTCCTTTAAATAATGTAGCCTACTTGTCTTTTTAATGATTAATAAAGGACTTATGCTTTGTTTCATTGTTTATCTTTATTTACAAGTAGCAGAGTATTTACAGCTAATGTAATAATACATTCTTCAATGTATATAGTCTATTTCAAGAGTTCACACTTAGCTGATGATTGTTAATAAGCTAGTTTGGCATGCTGTCCCGGGAGAGAGCCCCGAGCTCAAAAGATCCTTGTGCCTGGAGCTCCCTACCGTTGCAGGGCGAGAGGGGAGTAATTAAAACACCCACCCTCCTGCTACGTAAGGATTGCTAAGGTGATGTGTTGCTGACAGAAGTAAATTTGGTGCTAATTTGGTTTAGTCAATTTACTTAAGTCTCATGTTTTTGGGAGTGTGGGAGGAAACCGGAGGACCCAGGGGAAAACCCAAGCAAGCACAGGGAGAACATGAACTCCACACGAAAATGGTGTCCGATTGGGTGAATACCTGAGTCGGAGGCATTTTTTGCTGTGAGGCCGCAGTGCTAGCCACTGGGAACGCCATGCTGCCTTGTAGAAAAGAGGAGGAGAAGGGGTGGAAGGGGGGATTCTTCAAGACGAAGATGACTAAAGGTAAGATGTTTGGTTATTTATACTGGGTTAGAAATAGTCTGATTGGTGGTTCGTACATTAGCTTGACTCGAATAAGAATGAATAAACTTCACTTCTGTCCGTTCGCATCCCGTCCCTTTGTGCCACCTGGCGGCATAGTCGCAAACTGTGGTCATACCTTAAAACACAATCTTTTTTTTTTTTTAAACGGCGGCGGTAGATCGTACAGCGGTGATGATCACATTAAGCTCTCACCTACTGTACGTCGCCCACTTACAAACCCTCCAGTCCTCACCCACCCCCTTGCTCGTAAGGCACTCACTCTCCTGCAACCTCCCGCAAATCAACTCTGTATCCCCCGGAAATGACTTTTCCCAACTTGGGATGTCAGTCTTGGGCTCTTTTTAATGGTCTAATTGTAAAGTCTAAAGCACATGGGACTTCCGTCTTTCGGATGAGACGTTAAACTGAGTCCCAACTCTCTGTGGTCGTTAAAAATCCCAGGATGTCCTTCGAAAAGAGTAGGGGTTTAACCCCGGCATCTTGGCCAAATCTGCCTACTGGCCTTTGTCCATCATGGCCTCCTAACCATCCCCATATTCCAATTGGCTTCATCGCTGTCTCCTCTCCACCAATCAGCTGGTGTGTGGTGTGCGGTCTGGCGCAAAATGGCTGCCATCCAGGTGGATGCTACACACTGGTGGTGGATGAGGAGATCCCCCCATTGTTTGTAAAGCGCTTTGAGTGCCCAGAAAAGCGCTATATAAATGTAAGGAATTATTATTATTATTATTATTAAAAAGCATTAAGGGTGTGTCCAAATCCACTTTTGCTATTTTAAGGACGGAAAAATATGCTGGGAACCCAGGTGCATGGTCTGACAGGGTTGTACTTATTCTCTTAATGAGTTATGGGAGTGTTTTGAGAATAACGTGCATTAAACCAATCAGACTCTCATTTCCCATTCCCTGAGTCAATTGCGCCCAGTGCTTAATTTGTAAATTGTGAGGTCCTGGAACTAATCAGGGTAACGTATCTGGCATTTTACCAGAGGAGAGAGAGGTGTTGTGGACGAAAGGGTTGGGGAGTTGCTTGGGGTGTGTGTGAGGATTCTTCTTTGGCTCTCACTCTTCTTCCCGCTCCATCCCATGTCTCTCCTTGCTAGCACCTCTTGTCTCATCTTATTCTATCTCTGAGGCTCTCCTTGTCCTGCTTTCCAAACGAAAAAGGAATTCCTGGGATAAGCAAGATAAGCAGACGCTCTGAATTCCTGCCCCTGTCAAGGACACCACCGATCCCCATCCAAACGCCTTTGTGTGCTTTTACCCACGTGGGGCGTGGGCGGGACTGTGACTTGCGCCTTGAAATGGCTGCTGGACCAGTTGGCTGCCCGCACTCAATGGACTGTTTTCCATTACCCCTGTTCCCATCCCCTGTGTCTATGTTGTGTCTTGCCGGTGTGCTTATGCTAAAATAGGGCTGTTTTTCTCCCTTTTCTCACTTTGTCCTAATCAAGGGCAAGCTGAGGGGGTGTTTTTTTTTTGCCTAACTGTCCAAATGTATCTTTCTTCGTTTCTAAATGCTGCCTCCTATGATCTGTCTCCCCTGAAAAGTGTGATGTTTTGTGTATGGTCTGGGGGGTCCAATTTCGCTGTACGAAAGTGTAGTGACAAATAAAGG